TCAACGGTAAAGGTCTTCATCACTTCGTGCAGTGGGCCAAGAACGAGTATGATTTAGCTGGATGTGAATCAAATAGTAGAGAACGCGTATTTTTGCTCGTCAAATTCAGTGTTAAATCACCTGCACTTTAAGAGTTGATGTTAATGACTTCCTCTTACTTTAGCGCCTTCAATGATGGAAGGTTCGATTAGGATGGTGTGAATACAGCAAATAGTCAGAGGCTTTTTTGTCGAAGGCATAATAGCTTCCACTAGCTCCCATTACATGATAATGCATTTTGCGGTCATGCAAAGAAGCACAAGTTGTGCCGCATAGTACAGGTGTACTCAAGTGTCGTAAATCTATGAGTATCTTTGGCAAGTATCCTGACAGGGAGAACCGAAGTAAATCTAGCAATATATCAGAGTTTAAAAGTGGCACAACTGCTTCAGTAATTCGTGCGGTATATGCAAATACGTGTGCGTGGAAATAAAACTGCTTCTCATTTCTTTGTGCTTGCGTTATTCGACCGTCATTGACCGCGAAAGTCGTGCGTCATGCATTACGACTTCCAACTCAGTCACTTACATGCGCCCGGAGCGTAAGCAATGCACGGAGTGCTTGCATGTGGGAGGGTCAATTTGACCCCGATTAGATCTCACATGCTATGAGGAAAATGTATGCAAATTTCGCAGTGTATGTAGGCCTGCATATAAATTTTTTATCAAATTTTAAAGACACCTAGCTTCAAAACTTCAGTATAGATTGCATCAAGCGTAGGTAGCCAGACAAGGCAAGTAATCTATTGGTAAGAAGCTCTCTAACGAACGCGACTTCAATGCCTCCAAAACATAACCTTCATGTCTGGATCCTTCCCAACGCACTGCAACTTAAAGTTGTACCCGCGCCTCTCCCGCGATAAGCCCAAATTAAGCAGTAGAAAACCGGCACGTGTAAAACACTGCCCCACCCTAGGAAGAGCCGTCAACGTCAATTCACACAAATGCTTGTTTGCACATTGACGGAAGCATATCGGGATGGGAAATGAGTTCTTAGTAGGACGGGATTCTAAATACATTGTTTCCAAATGCTTGTCTGAGTGCCAGTGTCATGGCTCTTCCATGACATTAATTGGACGGCCGACTTGTACCGGCGTGTGGCATCATCGTTGCTGGTTGTTGATAGACGTAGAAATGCAGATAAACCTTAGAATAATGAATGCTTAGAGCGTAATTGTTCATAAAATAGCATACCTGCACTTTGTTTGCATACAACGCATGGCAGGTAGCGTGCACCGCGTGTCAAACTACAAATCTACAAAAGCATCTTGTTTAGTATGCGCAGGGCTTCAGGCGGGGTTGTGCATTGACATAGACATTGCAACAGGAACGTATGCGTTCAGTTGCATGACAATGATCATATTCTAAGCGTCAAAAACAAACCCAAAATAAACAGTGAGCCTCGGACTCAAGCCATTGACGGGTTGTGAGCAAATGCAAAACAAAAGCCTTTCAAGTGCGCGCAAACGCAGACTGGCCTCGGCATTGCTAGTCACTGTCGCTCCCCCGATAAAGTGTCGTGTTAAACATCTTTCGAAAATCTATCACAAGAATCCCAGAACACCCGAACCAATCCGAGTGATAAGACACATTTCCGGGCATTTCTTCTTCAAACCCAGCGATTCGCCTGAGAGCTTTCAGTGGGTGCGGGCAGCAGACGGGTGACTGGGTGGCGTTACCGGTCCGGGCGTCCGCCGCCGGCCGAAAGACGGCTACATGTGTAAACCGGAGCGGCGGCGGGACGCCTGGCCCGCCTCATCTTGCGGACGCCTGCCTCGCCTCATCTTGCAGATCGGAGTGAGCGGTGGGTCGTGGGTTCTCTGGCGACGATAACCATCGTTTGTTATTGACAGGAGAGGCGCCAAGATTTAAGCGTTGCGCTCTCTCGCCAACGCATTCATCATATCATCTGCTGCTTCATGTTCATAATCAAAATAAGCAACTATAGCAATAACAACAACAGCAACGGGAACAACAATGACAGCCAGAGCGAGTAAGACCTGAAGCTCAATTGAAGCTGACGGACACTACATGGTTACGTTGTAATGACACGACAAAACCTTATGCAGCTTTTACCCAACGAATAATACCAGACGCCATGAACTGTGTTAGTGTTTTAGGATTGACTCTAATTTGCAATATTGGTTGATTTGTTAGCCTGAAGGCAGTGGTGAATTCAAGTTTTGGAGCGTTGGGATGCTGCTGCAAAACACGCTTGTGGAAAGATGTGATAAGTCTATGCAAGCGGGGTCAATCCACAAGATGTTCATTGAACCGATCCCCGACTGGTCTCAAACTCAATCCGTCCTTTTGTTTCGCGGAGCCTGTGAGTGATTCTGTGCACTATGTTTTTTAAGGGAGTTTATTAAATAAACAACAGCTATAGAAATGAAAGCATTGATAGCCCGATTGATAGGCGACTTCGTTGAGGCTGACGGCACCAGGTTTCAATCAGGGTGGACACGCTGACCAAAGCCAACACGATGCCAGAACACAGCGACTAGTTCCTAGCCTTTGGTGTTGTTCGTTTGGTAAAACCAGCATGCAGTTTTGTCACCATCACGGCATAAACAAGCACGTGCAGTGCGTGCGTGCGTGCGTGCGTGCGTGCGTGTGTGGGTGTGTACTGACGTCAGACACAAACCCGACAACGCACACTTGGGACGTCGCCCAGAGTTTCATTACATCTGCGTCAAAATAATTTTCATTGCTTTCGAAGTTTTCACTAAAGCAGGTTGACAATTAATAAATCAATCTCTTTTCAGTTCTTAATAGAACAATCTCAAATTTTAGCAGCTCCAGGGTTTTTACCTCAACTGCGAGTTCTGTAAATTACCGGTTTTGCTACGGTGCTGAGCAAGGCCTGAACTACCCCCGTGTTCGATGCAAATAGCTACGACTGTAAGCTTAGACACGAAAACACTCGATAGTGAGTTCACAGCCTTCTTTTGATGTCTCACAGAAACCCTTGCAAGGCTGGGCAGTACCAAAACCGATGCCTGACGTTGCAAGCATGCATGCATACCATATCGGCCCTTCCGAGGTTATCTGAAAGTGACTCCTATGGTGTGCTCCTCGAGACACACATCTACACTATTCTGCAGTATGCATCGGTGTCTCTCTTCGTAACTAACGGAAACGACAGTTAATTCAGGCACGCCTTAAGGAAACTACGTGCACCGGCCTTGCCGCCTAGACCAGGGTGGGCACACTGTGTACCCCGGCCGGACGCTTTGCGACACGTTGGTTTTCTAGCCAAGGCCCGTAGTGACGTCACGCGGCCAACACCATCATCCAATGGGTGCACGCTCGCTTCAACTCAACCTAAGAGAGAAAGCCTGGCTGTTGCATGACATGATATACCCCTGCGACATTATTATCTCCAGCATTAGGAAGCTATGAGAGCTCGCTCCTTGACTGTGCGACTCACGCACTGACGTCATGACCTTTGGACGAGTCCATTTTGCACACATAGAGACACTTTGGAGCCGGCGTCCCGCCGCCCCCCGTCCGGCCCTTTGACGCCTCTCGACGCCGGCGGGGGGCAAGTGACGGCGTTTTCATTTGGGGTCAGGATCTTAACTCGCCCTTATAGGGGGAGGGGTTGATGTTCTCCCAGGTTGTTTTGAGGATACTTCTCTCACATGTTATGCAATCACGCCGAAAATTTCAGCGGCCCATGGGGCATTCCTTGCGCGTGTTTTGACACCCAAAAGTCGTGTTCCCAGCTCTTCCGGTTTCAGAGCAGCGGTGATTTTGAGGGCACTGCGCGGCAATCAACGACCTTATCGGCAAACACGGCAGTCAACGGCAACCGGCGGCCTAGCCGGGCGGGCAGGCGGTAACCTTCATCAAACCAGCGCCTTCATCAAACCAGCGTCTTCATCAAATCAGCACCCGCCCGATTGACAAATCTCTGGCGACGTGCCCCTGCCCGAACATGATCTTTTAAGTGACTGCAGTGAACGCCGGGGAGGGTGTTCTAAGCTCCAGTGCGTCAACATTTGCCTTTTTAAGGTGTTCCATGTTCTGCCGATGGTGATTGCATCAAAACCCACCTAGCATGGGGCGGTTTAATCCACGATGTCAACGCACAAGTCCATGCTTTTGGCAGGAACTTAACGTACGTGCGCGTATGCACATCAATAAGTAAGCTCGCGTAGTTTTCTTGGAATGAGGAAAGTAATGACGCTCCTGGCCAGTGCTCACAGATGGGGGCGGATGTAAAGCAGGTACACGGCTCTTCTAGGCAGGGCTGGTGCCGGTTATAGGGCCTGGAATCAAGTGGGATTCAAATATGTTCCTCAGTGGGCAAATTGGCGATTACTGTGGTGTTCTTGAGATAAGCTTCTCTGTGCGTACGTAGTTAGAGCCAGCATGGGACTTAAGCCGCCCAACTTTCAAATTCCGCCTCTGCACTCCTGCAAACCTAACAGACAGCTCACAACTTTTACATGACATTTAATGCTGCTACATGCTAGCTGGCCAGCTCACCTAGAGCAGTGGCAAGCCCTACATTCAAAGGGTAGAAAGGTTGCCGACGAATACACTTGTGATCAATCTTATTATATCTTTAACACTGCCACGCATCTGTTGCTGGCGTTTGTTATAAACGAAACCCAGGAGGGTCGCGTCGGGAACAGGCTGTTTTGGATAGCTTGGCCAGCTTGGCCCGGCTCCGAGTACAGCTGGCCAGTTCGGCTCAGATGCGTCAGACGACCTGAAGGCTGCCAAGAGAGCCTGTGACAGACCACCCACCCTCCGACCAGACCAGACCACCCCTTTCGACCAGACCGCCCCTTGCGTATCTCAACTAATTATGCGTTGCGCAATCTGCTAAAAAAGAATACTAAGCTCCGAAGCATGCCAACCCGCGGCACGCAATCTTTTCATTGCGCCTCCGTGTTCCGTGCACTTCCGCCCGCTCCTTGTACCGCACGGAGCAAAAAGCGGCTACACTGGATTGCTTGACTTTTTATTCATGACTGCGGCAACAGGGTACATTGTACAACCCTGTCCGCACAGGTCCGACATGTGGTCATTGACAGTGGGGTACGAACTCGGCTCACGTGGACCGACCAGCGCGGCGAGCACTGGCTCATTCGCAGATGAAGTGCTTCTTGTGATGGCACGCGATGTCGTGCCAGACGATGCCGTCGTCGTAGAAACTGTTGAGGACTGCCAAGCAGTCTTCGGAGCCTTCGTTGTCGTCCGGCTGAGGCTCGCCGGCGCCGCCGGTCTTACTCCAGTTGGTGTAGCCAGACGCCACGGGAGACCCATCGTCCCAGAAGAACAGCCCGTCTTGCTTCGTGCCGGACGTCCAAATATAAGGGATGTCTGCAACGAGGCGATAACTGTCGTAGCTGTTCGGGCAGTAGGCCTGAGAGTAGCATGGCAGTCTTTGCACCAGCAGCGTACGCAGACTCAGTGCTGACGCTGCAATGAATTGCAATGCACCGACAATGCTCAAACCATCGCCATTGGTATATCAACGCGCATGTGACTAAGAACGATCAATAACGTTCCAGTCCCTGCACCCGTCGCTGAGAATCCTGCGGACACTCCACGTGCGCAAGCTTTACGCCAAGCCTCACCAGCATCACTTTGGGTGCTACGTTTATGGGGTGAACGTTGAGATCCACACGTGCCGGGTCAGAGGTCAACTCACCGGCGCTTTTGATCTCAGACACGGCGAATGCATCCTTCTCTGCAGTCTGCAGGGATATGAGGCGGCGGCCACGCGAGCGGCATTCCTCGTCCGCCTCGTTCCAAGAGTATTGCCGGATCGGGTCCACGTCTCGCCACGAGATGATGTGGTCCGGCTGATCACCTGTAAACGTGCAGGTGGACCCCTGAGGTGAGCTGAACCGCGTGGAGTTGAGGTCGGTCCGATGTGATCTGATAAGTCGCAAGCAATCGGCCTGGTAGTTCCCGAGACCTGGGGGGATGGGGTCTCGTCGTCAGTGCCCTGAATGACATCTGCCACCCCTGTCCTGAATAGTGAAAACGAGGAGCCAGCCCGGAGTAGCGTCAACAGGCCTTGAAAACTTGGAAAGCTGAGGTGCAAATGACGAGACCATCGCATTCACAAAGGCTTGAGAGTCACCCAAGTCCCCAGAGTCAGAGGTCCTTGGTAAGGCTGCCCAATGAGGACCACGCTCATTGATCGGCTGTTATCGGGAATGATTAACTCCCAATGCCATGGCCGACTGCCAGTGCCATGCCCACCCAGTCGGTGACGCGGCGCCGTCCGGGTAATCCCGATGCGTTGGCGCACCGCAGCTGGTATTGAACAATGAGCCACCGAAGCGGTTACCTTCAGGAAACTTGGTGGGCTCCTGCTCTTCGAAGTCCTCGCCGCCGAAAGTGGGCGCTCCGATGCTGGCGCTGGGCTTGCGCACGGGCGCTCCGATGCTGGCGCTGGGCCTAAACCCGTGCGTGGTCCCGCCGTAGGACCCGTACTGGGTCGATCCGTAGCCGCTGCTTGCCCCGTACCTGCGCGTTCCGTAGCTGCTGCTTGGCGTGTACCTGTGCGCTCCGTAGCGGCTGCCTGGCCTGTACCTGTGCGCTCCGTAGCCGCTGCTTGGCCTGTGGCCATACGATGGGCCGTACGAGGAGCCGTATCCGACCCGGTATGAATCGGGGCCGGCGCCGGAGACGGCCACGCCCAGCAGGAGCGTGACCAGCGCGGTCGGCAGCGGACGCATATCTGCGCAGCGGAACACAGCGTCACTGCGCACCGCCACCGGAGCGAAGTACCCGTGCGCGGAGGAGGGTGGCTTCCGAAACCAGCTGTTGCTATATAAATGCTTGGTTACTGACCGCATGCAGTCACCCGACAAACCAAACCAAACCAAACCACGACAAAATTGCTATCCAGGGGATTAGAAAATAAGTGAGATTCAATACCACTAGATCAGCGTCGCGGTAGATTTGATAATCGATTATCGACGAGAAATGCAAGCAAACCGAGTCTTCGTAAGCAAAGCTTACCGTTTCTATAGAAATCCCGTTCCAAAATGCAGACAGCTGGAGCACACTCCCACAGGATGACAAAGACTCATACTCCCTGTCAATGTTCTAGACGAAGGTGGCAAGTATGGGTGTTAAGAAATGGTAGTGTTAGAATGTCATTGCTTCTCTTAAATTTGCGTGTTGTTAGATTTATGATGCGTGGGAGTGTGAGCCATTCATGCTATGCAAAATGCGTAAGTGGCTTCGGTATTTCGTTGTCAAACTGCGATGAGGTAACGGGGCCAGTAAAAGTCGACAAGACTGCAGCGTCTCCAGAGGTCATACTAGATACCGTGCAAATCACCTAGGCCGAAAATCAAATGCCGCAACACGTGTGTTGGTGTTGAACAGAAATAACGTGGGCCAAATGGCAAGGCGTTTCACCGACTAGATGTATTTAAAGCACACTATGCGGGCCAAAAGTAGCAATGCAAGTGCAAGTGTGGGGTCACAAGTGATTGCGACCCAATGAAATGTCTGTTCAAAAAGGCCAGAGTACCCCACGCGGTCATCTGTGTGTTGTCAGCTGGCTCTTTATCTCTGATATGTAGACACCCTCGAGAATTCGCAGCCACAAGCATATGCAATCACCCACAATCTCATTGTGGTGGGTCATGATATGTGTTTCCGTGGCCTACTTTGCATCTCCATTGGAAGGCCTGTGTGGGGACGTTGTCAGTTCGATGAGATGGCTAGGAGTCCACATTTCAATACACTTACAAACGGTATTGGCGCTGCATGTCAAGGCGAGTCAAGGTAAAACAGTTTTCACATCTTCCTTTGATGAGTTTTGACATTATTCTATTTTCGCATACACTCAGGGGCGTAAGCACATCTTAGCCCCGGGCATCTACCCCCGCTACTGAATGAGTGGCATGTCTTACTATGTACGTAACTAAATGTTGAGAGTTCAAAATTTCGGATAGACACTTAAAGCTGACATGGTGGCGGGCCTGTGAGGTTATTTTGTGGTGCAGAAAATCGGGAGAATATGTCGAAAGTGTTTCAATGGCGTCCCTCCCATAACGAAGCCCTGCGTACGCTCCTGCATACAGTACACAATGTATGATCAGAAGTATTTTATGTATATGCAGAAAGCCAATGGACAAAACACCGCGACCTGGATCACTGCGGGAAGCTTTAATAGTCTGCCGAACCAATGAAGTCAGGGGCCAGAAGCAGTAGGCGAAGTGGCTGCCAACAACTGTGAAGCCTCCTGTCGACGTGACTGGTTGGATCGGTTGGTCCTGCCATGCCGTCCCGACTGGCCCTCACTTGACACAACGGGAGACGCCCCAGCCCCGCACCGCCTGCTACTCACCGTTGTGCTGCGAGGGGAAGCCAGAAACTGGTAACTACATCCCCGCGGGCCGCCTTAAATACAGACTTCGTCCTGACCGGTTTTTCCGCCATCCTCAAGCAGCGCAGATCTGTGTCATGTTGCATTTAGGCATGGTAGGCAGAGACGCTTGAACTGGCACAAAAGGGCTACTGCCAGGGTGTCGTGACTCGCCGTCAGTTGAAAACAGAAATGCTCGAGACGTGCTAGAAAGGCGTTCGTTTTTTCGGCATGAGTTCAAACTTCTGATGTTGACAACAGGCGGCCTCCAATATAAAAGGAGACACTGGTATGGTACGATCTCTCTCGTGACGATGAGCCTGGCTTTAAACATCGAGTTGTGATATCATTCGATAGTAGTATGGCTTTTTAATGTCGCCGTCTCACCTGGACATTACCCCTTCTTGCCATTCTGATCTAGTTCAGTTTTTTGAACACTTAGCTTCCGATTAAATGACCCTATTTCGAATTCCACCAATTCCAAGGACCGAACTCCGGCTGTGACGCGAACGTGAAACCCAAAAGTCATTCTCAGAATTCGGTACCACCGGACTACGGCCGGAGAACTAACTGGCCGAAACGTTGCGTAAATACTAACACACAAGACGAGAACAGTGGCATGACGGGCATCGCGCATCTTTAGAGCACGTGCGGTATGCGTAATGCATCAATGTATCTGGTAGGCTGACCCTCTTTCCTTATTTCCCTCTTCAGAGCGTGGAGTTTCGGGCACCATTCAACAATCGTGATATGCTGAATTCAAATATCCCCTAGGTTTCCCAAATCGCAATTGATGGAACCACTTAAGTGGTTTGAAGCTGTAAAAATGTGCATTTTTACCAAAGACATCGAGTGCAGTATGCCAAGTTTTTCGCAGCATCATTCAATGCCATTTCATTAAGTCAGTACTACTAATCCGGTTAAGATTGATCAATTTCATCAGGTTTTCAGTAGACTGTTAATGTGTCAACAACGTTTGACATGCCTTAGATGAGCTGTTTCTTTTTGGCATATTTTATATCGGTCGCATGCTGGTGCATATTGGTGCTGATAATCATCAAACATGGCGCTGTCGGGTGGATGTCTACAAGTGGTATAACCCAAGTAGACAAATGTAAACCGCTCCAGTGGTTTTCTGTTTCCTTGCTTCCCAGCTACACAGACGTCTTAACACCGTATTTGTACGCGGTGACAGCATGAATCCGTGAGCGTCTGTTTTGTATAAAACAAAAAATCTGTTGAACCTCTCGTGAGTTGTGTGAGGGAGCCTGATGAGGTCACCACAGGTAATTGGGGATGATATTTTTGTGGAATACGTGAGTGTATGAGCCATGACAATATGATCTTCCAGTTCTTGTGACCTGGCTTGACACTTCACATTCTTTGCTGATCACTTTGCGAAGCTGACTACGAGCTTGTTCCAACGAGTAATCATTTACGCCTGTGTAAGTCCCCTCAACAGTGGCCTTCAAAATGGAATTATAATAAGGCTGGCGAACGTCAGACGAAGAATGCACTGCTTGATTTCCTGGTTCATGTAGTGTGGAAGCCAGTTATCATACCCGATGCATCACTGCCGTTCACGTTGCATTAATTCCCACGTTTCTTCTTAATCTCATTTCTTCGCAGTGGTAACAATGGCCCGAAAAAGGTCTATCACCCACAGTTAACAATGCGCATCTTGATCTCAATATGATGTCATGCCATTATATGATACATGATGGCATGATCGCATGATATGATACGTGATATATGATACATGATGACTTGAAATGAACTGGAACTGGAAACGATCTGCAAGTCTATGATAACAGGTATATCGGTTTGATATCTGAAACGTGGATTTTTGCACTCGTAACTATCCAAACATTCATCCAACTCTGCACCCCTGCAACCTTTGCAGACAGCCCACAAGTTTTAGGAGACATTTAATACTACCAGATCCTAGCTGGGTAGCTCACCTTGAGCAATGGCAAACCTGTCACGTAAAAAGTAGAAAGGTTGCCGTCAACTCAATTTGTGATCAAGCATCTTCAGCGCGCAATCAAATCAATTAGCTCTCTCGTGAAGTGTGTGTATTGTGAATCAATTTCAAATCCGACTCAGCCGAGAAGCCAACGGTACCACTGTCAACTCCGATTCAATTCACGACAGAACGGAATCGACTCCGGGATCGAATTTGATTGCGCTGGAGTCATGAGCAAGTGTAAGGGTTACAGTGCACTAAACACGCACAGTTGACGTGCACTCCTACCGGCTTTGTAAATGGTGTATTTTGGGAGATGCAGGTGTTGGTGAAGCCACTTCAGAAGACCGAAGATAACACAGATCGAAATTAAAAATGACTCCAGCGGCATGAAATTCCATGTATCCTTGGATTTTGCTATGTGAGGATTTGACCACATGACTTAGCTGTGGTTCCATTCAGAAGCAGCTCGTAAGAATGGTCATGGATCAGCATTGAGAACAGCTTTTGAGACCTTACACCGTAAGCCCTCTTGGAGGTATGCGGCACGGTCTGCACGATGAGATCTCTTGCTGCATGGTCTAATCTGAGACCAGTCTGTCAATTGAGGAGACCATTAGTAAATATGGCCCTCTTGCGGGGACTTCAAGAATCCCCGGTAATTTTACAAACTTTGCAGCATGCCGCCATGAATACGTTCGAGACTTTTCACGTTTTGCACAAAGCTCTCAGCTACTGCCGCCAGCGACATCTACACACAAATGCATTCACATTACGATATGCTTGTGATTGAAAGGTGACGCTGTAATCGAGTCTCAGTGAGTTCATTTAGCCTGAACATAAGCTAAATCACATGCAGTGCACAGTTCAGTCTACCTGAAGCTCACGTCACGTTTTGAGAATTTTCGGAAAAGCAGTTTTCCACATGAAGCTACTTATGCGATGTGCTTAATAAACAATACCAAACGTTACACGGTGCTGCTGAAGCAGACTACAAAATAGGTTTGTTCCTTTTAATAAACTGGTGAAAACAACAATACGGGTGTCATGCATTTTGCCGTTGTCACCCGACAGCGTCATTAAAGTTAAATACTACACATTGAATAATTTGTTTTCCATAAAATCAGCGTGAATTGAGCTTTGGTGGCTACATTTTTTTTTTTACCGCACTTGACCATTCTCTAACACCCTGCACTTTCGCCAACGCGTACCTTTTGTGGCCGCCGGTTTCGGGAGATTGAGGTGTCGGATGCATTTAATGGTAAGTCAACATTCCCCGTGCTTAAGTTATGTTGTGCACTTTTACTTAAGTGTTGCAAATATGACGCACTGCGCTCGTCGCCTGATGGTTGCGTGTCGCTCAAAAATCGGATGAAGGGCAGCTGATATGGCTGACGCAGTTTGCAAAAATTGTATAACCGGACGAGGGAATACCCGGAGATGTACCAATTGTGACCCAAGCGAGGGAGGCAATTTTTTGCCCGGGATAGGGATAGATCTGGGAGGTGCTGGGTCGGCCTCCACAACTTAAAAGGTGGAGCCAACTTAAACAACAATACGGGTGTCATGCACTTTGCGTTGTCACCCGACAGCGTCATTAAAGTTAAAAACTACACATTGAATAATTTTTTTCCATAAAATCAGCTTGCATTGAGCTTTGGTGGCTACAGTTCTTTTTTACCGCACTTGACCATTCTCTAACACCCTGCATTTTCGCCAACGCGTACCGTTTGTGGCCGCCGGTTTCGGGAGATTGAGGTGTCGGAGGCATTTAATGGTACGTCAACATTCCCCGTGCTTAAGTTATGTTGTGCACTTTTACTAAAGTGTTGCAAATATGACGCACTGCGCTCGTCGCCTGATGGTCGTGTGTCGCTCAAAAATCGGATGAAGGGCAGCTGATATGGATGACGCAGTTTGCAAAAATTGTATCGCCGGACGAGGGAATACCCGGAGATGTACCAATTGTGACCCAAGCGAGGGAGGCAATTTTTTGCCCGGGATAGGGATAGATCTGGGAGGTGCTGGGTCGGTCTCCACAACTTGAAAGTGGACCAAGTTATGCCCAGTTACCCATATTACTATATTTGGGAGAAGAGTCACTGCCTTTATTTTTTGAGGAGTCCGGGGCTCGATGACTACGTATCCCGCCAAATTTGCGTTCACTTTTCCGGGAGCCTTCTGTGCGGGAGCCTTCTGTCTGATCCTTCTGTCTGATCCGTTGCCAGTGAGCAGACATCTGTGTGAGGCAACGACAATAACAATTGAATATGTCCGTAGTCGAGCAAATAAAAACCACAGGGGCAAGGCTGAAGTGTGAGCCAAGTTAAGATGCCACTGCTACACACGCACATATGTAAATGATTATGTATACACAAAATGCGAAGTGCAGATAAGTCATTCCGCTTCGGCGAGGCGGAAAAACTGTTCATCTAAATGAGGATTATGTTTTACGCTTCGACGGCCTTCGGATGCCAATCTGAACAAGCATTTCACTTATAAAGTTAGCCGATGTCGGGGCATTTAACACGCGCTCGAGTGGCCGGATAGATACCCTTCGCTCGGTCAATTTGCCCCCCTCCCCCCTGAGATCTCGGGAACTAAGAAAGCTAGAGACACAAAATTTACCATATGTGTTAACCTGTACGCGAAACATTGCGTGTCATAAATCCTTTGGAATAGTAACAATAAAGATAAGCCTTCGCCACGGCATATTTGCGCGTTCGCCTCGGCATATTTGGTTACATACTGGTCTGACCAAACAAATACAGCGCTCGAGGTATATGAGATGGGGATATTTCTTGGGAGTTTCGCCACCGCCACCAGCTTCCGCGTAATCCTTTGAATTTTAGCCCGAATGCACTATAATGTTACACGCCGGCGGTGCAAAACATCTAGTGTCCCCTGGTTGTGAAGTCTGTGGAGCTCATATTATTCATACATCGCCGAAATCATTTTCTTGAGCTCGGATTTTTGCATTTCTTGTACTCCATAACCATCCAAAGATGCAACACAAGTTTGGAAAATTCCATGTCATCGTCACAAAATATTCTACACATTCCAGGTAGTTTCCTGATGTTTTATCACCAGAAAGTGTATTGCGGAAATATATATATATATATATATATATATATATATATACGAATTTATACGAATATCGATCGCTTCACCGCTTTTGGCTTCAACCCCAAGCACTTCAGTATTCACGTCATGCGATGTCACTAAAACCCTTACGACACTAAATTCATGTATAAGTTGCCGTCTCCGCATTTAACGATTCGCTGTAAGGTAAGCAAACTTCAACCTGCAACTGTGCTGGCTTCGTCATACGAAAGTTAATGATGTCTAGTTATTCGAGTCGCGTGATCATACCTGTCTTTGTTAGTATTTATTATCCTAATCTAACTTGTTTTCCCAGTCTTCTCCAAAGCGCTTAACTCAGAATGGTAGGACCCATCAGTCTCTGGAAAGATAAACGAGTGCCATAGATACCAACTATGCCTAGCCCTTCACAGCACGCGGAGGAAGTTTCCTGATTAAGAGACAAAAATCTGAAGAAGGAGTGGCCAAAATCCACGGACCTTTTTGCGAGGTGAGGGGAGTATCAAAGTCCAGCGAACAGAACAATGAATCGCAGCCCCTCCCTTGACGAAATCCTTGATCCACCTCTGATTAGCTGTCACCTGAATGTGTTAATGCTTTAATAATTGCTGCGTTATGCCTGTGAACACCATGATTGGTACTCACCGATAGTACCGTGCGAAGCTCTGCAGTCATTTTGTACTGTGCTAGTGTGGATGAGTGATTTTCCCATCTCTGAAATGAGGTAGATGTTTATTTTTATGGCAGCGAAAATCCTCATTGTGTATTCCTTGCTTGCTTGTCCAACTGGCTCTGGATGGCTCACTGACTTGTGAATCGCGACTCATCTGGTCACTATGGGTTAATGCATAGAGCTGGTGTGCCTGCTGGGGGAAGCAGGGTATTCCTGGCACCCAATTCTTGTCGCCCTCTCCCCGGCCCCTGGTGGCGGTGATGACAGATATATCACATATTGTAATGTATGTCTTGCCCCCGGCTACAAGTTTTGTCCTTCTGACACCGCCGTCCCACGACCCACACGACGAGTGCTCAATCCTGGATGGGATTGTTCCTTCCAGTCACAAATCGGTCACAAATCCTTTGTGACCGTTCATGTCTAACTTGGAGCTGAGGTGTCAAAGATTACTCTCATCCTGCTTTTAACAGCTTACTGTTGGGCTTTTCTTTAGATGCAGCTGTTCTGGACACCTAAGTGCTGTGAACTGCCCTGTCCTAAGCTGTCGGGGACAACAACCGGCAGCCGAGGCTAGTGGTCTGGCCGGAAGCAGCTTTACTGTGGAGGCGGAGGAGATGACGATGACGGAGCCGCAGGAGATAATGGCGGCCGCTCTGCTGCAAGTGGTGTCATACACATTCTTCGCTCAACCGCTCGGTCTGGTCGAGCGCGCCACCCGTCACCCGTCTACCTGCAACACTTTATGCTGCAGGTGCGCGATTATAAAGTACTCAGGTCACACTGGGTTGTGACCGGGAAGCGGGACATTATGGGGGGGGGGGGGGGGGGCACGAAGAAGCTTCCCGATCGGTGGTGATGACACGTAGGCCCAGCCAATGAGTGTGGGGATGAAGCGTCGTTGATAGTTGACGTGAGTTTGTGTTGTAGCTGATTTGGAAACTTCATCTCATGCGTGCATCTCTATGTCGATAGAGATGTGTCGTACTGCTGTGGGATGTGTCGTTCTGTTGCGGAAATGTTCTACCGTTCTGGTTAAGATACGTCGCTCTGCTGTGCTGTGTTTTGGCCACACAAGTTTGTTCGCAATGCTAATTTGGAAGTTTTGGTTTTGGCCGTCAGGGTACGTCATTGAATATGCGTCGTTCTATCATGCAGAGCGTTGCTCTGTTGCAGGATGCGTTGATCTGCCATGGAATGCGCCATCCAGCTGTGGGTTGCGTCGTTGTGCTGTGCGGTGTTCCGACGACACGACGTTGTGTTGTGACACGTCTCCGGCGTATGTCGATGAAGAAGTGTCGTTTGCTGTGGAATGAGTAAATCCGCCGAGATACGTCGTCGTGTTTTTCTTATGCAGATGCGTCATTCTGTTGGGCTACGTTATGATTACCGACGTTTGTGTTGTTACGCTAATCTGAACGCTTTTGTTTTTGTTTCTGGTGGTTTTCGATGGAGATGCACAACTATATTCCGTGGTCGTGTATTGCAAGTTTATAAACACGATGACTGAAAAGGGTTGCGACCCACTGGAGTACTCGGAGACTACCAAGGCGTCTGTTTGGTCTGGGAACATTTTTGTTGCAAGCTTCTCGGCATCAGGGTAGTTTTTCTCGCTCGGGAACGTTCAATTGTCTTTCAAGTTCCAACTGGTCGGTCGCGGAGATCGTCAAGCATTCTTTTGAGAGATACTTTGCGCCGACACTGAAAACCTAGCAAAAAAAGAACAACACGAAACAAAAAGACCCTTCTAAAGTTGTCGTAAAGTGTGTCTCTGTGCAAGAACAAGATTTACCCTTCGATAGGTTTTGAGAATTCTCGAAAGTCTCGCCTGTTTTTCAATGCACGTCCGCTGAACGACGTCCGGCATCGGTGGGTGCCGAGGTCCGTCCTCACTTCCTGTGTGTCTGCTCACGTTAGTTGTACTGGTCTTTGCAGATGTCTTTCGTTTGCCCTTGCCCAACTTACGACGACGTCATGACTGCCTAATGACACTGATGACGTCATAATTGCCAAATGACACTGATGTCAACGGTTTCGGGTGAGCTGGTTGTATGCGCGGTGATGCTACTGAATGTGATTCAGGTATGTTGAGCATTGTGAAGACGTCCCGCCTGAGAAGTGTGCCAACATACCGCCACAATCCTGCTTAGTGAAGTGATGACTCCGTCTGTGACTTAGTGTGATCGTGATCTGTTATGGACCGGAAGACAATGGAGACGGTTATGTGCATCATTAAAGCCGGCACGCCTGTAAACGAGCAGAAGTGAGTAGCATGACCTGCCTGGGCAGGAATACTGCATCTTTGCTGATCTAAACAGATTACTCGTATTCCTCACCAATCAGCTAGTGAAGAGTTGAATATAACACGGTTTTAACGCAGTCAGCCCCGCGTCAAGAACACTCGAGCACACTGCGTGTCAATATCCGCTTGCGGTCAAAGTCCACTTGCAAGGAGCGTGGGAAATTATAAAGGAGAATGCCACCCGAGCACAGACCATACGAACTGGGAATGTCAGTGTATTTGCGGTCAATGACAAGACCAAGTACCTTATGTCTCGCCGACGCGGGCACTGACAGTGTATAAAGACAAATCAGCCGCGCACAAAAACATGAACAGTTCGGTGCATTCCACCATGAAACAATGACAGTTGCCGCAACGTGGGGCGATGGATGCCAGATGCCTGGTGAGCCTACATGTGCAAGGCGACTACGTCGGCTGCTGGTAGCAGAGGGACGACCGTGATCTGCAGAACGCCGGTCTGAATGTCGTCTTTGTTAGCGTATGCCTGAGGGGGGCGGTGCAGTGAGCGCCATGTGAAGAGGCCGAACATGCCTCGCCGACTGCCACGCGTCGGCACCCGTGCGCGTGACCTTGCGCCCCTCACGCTGTCTAAACCGCAGGCAGTTGTATTCGGCATGAATGGTTCGACTGCCTGAGTTGAGAACGGCGCAGAGGCTCCTACTTGAGGGCATTACCTGAAACGCCTATAAGTGAGTTAAAGTCATTGGAAGAGTCATCTGATACTACTTAGTGGTGTGCCACGGCGGTGCAACGTCACTAACCTTGCGGTTTTGTTTCGTGATCACAATCTAGTCCCTGCATCCGAAGCGAGAAATATCAGTCTAACGTTCGATTCTCTCTCGCCTTGGAACACCATGTGAACACCGTTGCAAGGCCCTCTTGTGGAGTGTGTGATGGTCCATCACATATCAGGGGCATACCTGCCTACCTCTGTCATACGCGCACTGGTCAGTACCTTACTTCTCTCGCAGATCTGCTACTGTATCTTCAGACTCGGTAATAGTCTGCAGGCGGACCTGTCCGCTCCAAAGTGTAACTACCTATGACGCAAAGGCTATTTCCATCCAAAAAGCCTCACAACACATTGTATTTGTAGTTGCGCCGCAGGGGTGAGCCGGAGTCTCCGGTCGATGAGCTCATATGTGTCAGAGACCACATAGCCAACGAACGGGACAGGGCGACAACTTGCTGCGTGCAAGGTCTCTCAGGCGGCTGGCTCGCAGGCGTTTTATCGCTACGCTCCGCGTCAGCACAGCTAGTTGCCGCCAGGCTCGTCACCGTTCTCCATTCTCCTCTTTAGTCGCTATTTTGTGTGCCACCTGTGCAACGGCCTTGTGTAAAATTTTGGTCAACTTGGTCGCTTCTCCGCTGTTATGTTTCGTGCCGCTGGGCTTTGAAAGCGTGTTGAGTGTATTCCTGTGTTTGCCAGGTTTCAGTTACTGACCTCCCAATTGTCTTCTAGTTGCGAGACCCTAACAGCTACGAGCCTACAGGGGATGCTTGCAATGCACATACGAGCCTCCACCCGGGTCGTTGACTGTCGCTCGTTGTGCTGATATCACGTGACTGTAAGCCAGCCCCAGGTGGGTCGCGTCGGCAACAGATTGTTTTCGAAAGCATGGCCAGTTTGGCCTGGTTCTGGGCGTAGCTGGCCAGTTCGGTTCTGATGGGTCAGAGCACGTAAAGCTCCGAAGCAGCCTACCCATTGTCACGCAATCTGTATATTCCGCCTCCCTGCTCTGTACAGTTCCGACCCCTCCTTGTGCCGCACGGGGCATAGGCTGATACAATGGATTGCTTGACCTTTGATTACGACTGCGGCAACAGGTTGCGTTGCACAACCCTGACCGTACAGGTCCGACAGGTGGTCATTGACAGTGGGGTACGAACTCGGCTCACGTGGACCGACCAGCGCGGCGATCACTGGCTCATTCGCAGATGAAGTGCTTCCTGTGATGGCACGCGATGTCGTGCCAGACGATGCCGTCGTCGTAGAAATTGTTGAGGACTCCCACGCAGTTTTCGGAGCCTTCGTTGTTGTCCGGCTGAGGCCTGCCGGCGCCGCCGGTCTTACTCCAGTTGGTGTAGCCAGACGGCAAGAGAGACCCATCGCCCCAGAAGAACAGCCCGTCTTGCTTCGTGCCGGACGTCCAAATATAAGGGATGTCTGCAACGAGGCGATAACCGTCGTACTGTTCGGGCAGTAGGCCTGAGATTAGCATGGCAGTCTTTGCACCAGCAGCGTACACAGACTCAGTGCTGACGCTGCAATGAATTGCAATGCACCGACAATGCTCAGACCATCGCCATTGGTATATCAACGCGCATGTGACTAAGAACGATCAATAACGTTCCAGTCCCTGCACCCGTCGCTGAGAATCCTGCGGACACTCCACGTGCGCAAGCTTTACGCCAAGCCTCACCAGCATCACTTTGGGTGCTACGTTTATGGGGTGAACGTTGAGATCCACACGTGCCGGGTCAGATGTCAACTCACCGGCGCTTTTGATCTCAGACACGGCGAATGCATCCTTCTCTGCAGTCTGCAGGGATATGAGGCGGCGGCCACGCGAGCGGCATTCCTCGTCCGCCTCGTTCCAAGAGTACTGCCGGATCGGGTCCACGTCTCGCCACGAGATGATGTAGTCCGGCTGATCACCTGTAAACGTGCAGGTGGACCCCTGAGGTGAGCTGAACCGCGTGGAGTTGAGGTCGGTCCGATGTGATCTGATAAGTCACAAGCAATCGGCCTGGTAGTTCCCGAGACCTGGGGGGATGGGGTCTCGTCGTCAGTGCCCTGAATGACATCTGCCACCCCTGTCCTGAATAGTGAAAACGAGGAGCCAGCCCGGAGTAGCGTCAACAGGCCTTGAAAACTTGGAAAGCTGAGGTGCAAATGACGCGAATCACAAGTCTCGATGACTGTCGGGAGCAGTTAAATAAGGCATAGAGACCATCGCATTCACAAAGGCTCGAGAATCATCCAAGTCCCCAGAGTCAGAGGTCCTTGGATCGGGAATGACCAGCTCCCAATTCCACGGCCGACTGCCTGTGCCCCGCCCACCCAGTTGGTGACGCGGCGCCGTCCGGGTAATCTCGATGCGTTAGCGCGCCGCAGGTGGCATTGAACTTTGAGCCACCGAAGCGGCTACCTTGGGGGAACTGGACGGGCCGCTGTACACCGGAGTCCTGGCCGCCGGTGATGGGCTTTCCAATGCTGGCGCTGGGCCTGTGCGGAACTGCTCCAGTGCTGGCGCTGGGCCTGCGCACTAGCGCTCCGATGCTGCCGCTGAGCCCGTGCGTGCTCCCTCCGTAGGGCCTGTACTTGGGCGCTCCGTAGCTGCTGCTTGGCCTGTACTTGGGCGCTCCGTAGCCGCTGCTTGGCCTGTACTTGGGCGCTCCGTAGCCGCTGCTTGGCCTGTAATTGGGCGCTCCGTAGCCGCTGCTTGGCCTGTACCTGTGCGCTCCGTAGCTGCTGCTTGGCGTGTATCTGGGCACTCCGTAGCCGCTGCTTGGGCTGTGGCCATACGATGAGCCGTGCGAGGAGCCGTATCCGACCCGGTGTGAACCGGAGCCGGAGCCGGAGACGGCCACGCCCAGCAGGAGCGTGACCAGCGCGGTCGGCAGCGGGCCCATATCTGCACGGCGGAGCACAGCGTTAGTTTGCACACCGCTGGCTGCACTTGCCACTAGTGCAGGCAGAACATGGAAACAAGGAAATTGCGTTCCAAAATGCAAACAGGTGGAGCACACTCCCACACACTGATAAATATTTATAGTCCTTGTCAATATTATAGACGAACGTTGCAAGTATGGATGTTACGAAATGGGAGCTTTAAAATGGCATTGCTTCTCTTAAATGTATGTGTTGTTAGATTATGTTGTGTCTGAGTGTGAACTATTCACATTATGCACAATACGTAAGTAGCGTTGGTATTTTGTTGTAAAACTGCGAGAACGAAAGGGGGCAGTAGTAGCCGACAAGAGTGTAGCGCCTCCAGAGGTCACACAATATACCATGCAAAACAACTAGGCTGAAAATCAAATGCCACAACAAGCGCTTTGGTGTTGAACGAGATATAGCAGGGGCGAGATGGTCCATATGTTTACCGTTTAGATGATAATTGAATCACATTATTTGGGGCCACGAGAAGAGTACAGGTGCAAGTGCGTGGTCACAGGTAAGCTCGGCCTCACGAGAAGTCTGTCCAAAAAGGTCAGGGTACCCCACACAGTCACCTGCGTGTTGTCAGCTGGCTCTTTGTCTGTAATGTGCACATGCTCGAGAATTTGGAGTCATCAATGGTCAGATGTTGCAATATCGATCATCCGATGTGCTTTCAGAATCGTGCTGTGGTGGTGATGGTATACTATCACCCACCACGGAAACACGCATATGTGTTTCTGTGCCCCACTTTGCAACTCCATTGGAAAGCGTCTGTTGGGGGATGATGTCAGTTAAATGAGATGGCTAGCATTCTTTAGTTCAACACACTTACGACTCGTATTGGCAATACATGTCAAGGCGAAATCAAATATAATAATGTATTTCGTCTTACCTATGCTTAATTTTGACGTCATCCTATTGTCGCATACAATCAGGAGCGGACGCACATATTAGCCCCGAATACGTGCCCCCCCCCCCCCCCCCGACTGATGTGTGACGTGTCTTACTATGTATGTACCTTAACGTTGAAAGCTCATAATTTTGGATAGACACTAAATCTGACATGGAGGCGAGCCTGTGATGTTATTTTATGGTGCAGAAAATCGGGAGAATGTATCGAAAGTGTTTCAATGGTGCCCCTCCCATAACGAAGCCCTGCGTGCGCTCCTGCATACACTACACCATGTATGATCAGAAGTATTTTATGTATATGGAGAAAGCCAATGAACACAAACACCGCCACCTGGATCAGTGCAGAAAGTCAGGTATCTTGCCGAACCAAGAGAGCCAGGGGCCAGAAGCAGTAGGCGAAGTGGCTGCCAACAACTGTGAAGCCTCCTGTCGACGTGACGGGTTGGATCGGTTGGTCCTGCCATGCTGTCCCGACTGGCCCTCACTTGACACAACGGGAGACGCCCCAGCCCCGCACCGCCCGCTACTCACCGTTGCGCTGCGAGGGGCAGGCAGAAACTGGTACCTGCACCCGCCCGTCCGCCTTATATACCGACTTCCAAGCGACCGGTCTTTCCGCCACTCTCATTCAGTGCAGATCTGTGACATGTTGCATTTAGGCATTGGAAGCAGAGACGTTTAAACTCGGGTAAAAAGGGTACTGCCAGGGTGTCACGACTAACCGTCAGCTGGAAAAAAAAAATGCTGAGACGTGCTAGAAAGGCGTTTAGCTTTGTTTTTTGGGCATGAGTTCAAACTTCTAACGTTGACAACAGGCGGCCTCCAATATGATAGGAGGTACTGATAAAGTGCAACGTCTCTCGTGACTATAAACATGGCTTTTAACGCCGAATTATAGTATCACAAGATAATAATACGTTGTTTGAATTAGTCGCCTAACCAGACCATTCTGGTATTTTGGAGACCAATTATTGCAACATGATAGCCACAAACTCGATTTAAGAGCTCTAGTTTAAAATGTGAGGTAAGGTTAGAAACTAGAACCAATATGGACTGTGGTGCGCAGATGTATGAAAAGAAGGCCGCGGTTGCGAATTGTTGGGCTCATTTGTATTACATATTTAATAATTCTAACCCTTGCCATGCGGAAGGCCAATCCTCGTGCGTCGGCTGCATGTGGGATATACAACCAAATTGAGTTGAAGGCACAAACCCCAGCTGCTGAATAGCCAAATATATAGAGATTGCAATGGTTTTAATTTCAATATATCCAGATCTTTTGGTAACCCAGCGGATCAGGCCATTTTGTGGAGAGTCGAAAACTTCCAGTTTTCCATTGTACCGGGTGATACTTTTCTGTAATGTGAGCAAAATGCCGGTAAAATTTGTTGAACGGTATCAGGTCAGACGAGGTACACAGAGATCGCTTACTACACTTGGTCTCCAACGCTCATGAAATAACCAACTGGCATGATCTGCCGGAGCGAGACGTTAATTTTGATAACCAAACATTCTTAAAATGTTGTCAATGGTGCCCTTAGCACCGAAACAGGCGTGGTAAAATACGTCTTGCGGAGTGTTGTGTCCAGTGAATAAAAATAATGAGTTCGATCGCGAAATTACTGTAGGTACTTTACGGAGTATGATGTGACAGACGTTAGATGTTTTAATGTCATTAGTGAGCGCAGTACTATGTAATTTTGGTATATCACCCTTTATTCTTCAATGTTCTCGCTTATTTCGCTAAAAGGTAGCAGAAGTACTGCTGACTTTCAGAAATGATACCTTTAGCACAATCGGCCGTTTGAAAATATGCATGGTGTATCTAGGTTTTCTGATAAGGAAGGCAAAACTGCATGTTGTTATTCTTCAAAAGCGGTTACTGCTAGAACATGTCGACGAAATGCTTATCCATTCACATATATATATCCATATATCACCATATATCCATATATCCATACCCATAGCGTTACCTCAGCTCTGGTCAATTGATTCGATGAAAATCAGATTCAGACAATTGTTAAGAAAACATAGTCACATGCGATTTCACATACACATCTTCCCGAGGCAACACAAGCTAATTTAAATATAAAACAGATGCCAGTGTAAATATATAAAATACCAAAATATAATAATACCCAAGCTAATGTAAATATATAATAGATGATCCAGTTACATTTCAAGCAGAAAGCGTTTGTAAATTGAAGCCAAAAAATGCAATGTGCACGCAATTTGATAACATCCACGTTTCTTACCACGCACCTGTTGTTCACACCTTTTCTTTAAACTTATCTCCCCTTCCCTCCCCCCGCCACCACCTTTTCGTAGCAGTATGCGTATCGGTGAATCATCCTAAAAATTGTTGTCGGTAACATGCAGTTACGCTGATATTAGAACAGGTAGGAAGACCTCGGCGGTATGAGGAGACATGTCATCGTACCCACAGGCGTCGCTGGTGTTCACCGATGCCACTTCTTGGTTTTCCTCTCGATGTCAGCGCGTACCCTGTTGACCTGGGCAGCCAGCCCATATGAGTGCCCTGTTGGTGATCTCTTACCACCGACGACGTCATGGGTCTCCAGGCCTCGCCGTCGCTTCTGCATTGAATGTGTTCGCGGCGGTCACATCTGCTGGTTGGATGCTCCCGATGGTACAGTTACCCGTGCATCGTCTCGATGTGGCAAAGGGCACAGCGTTGTACCATGAGCTCCTCAAGCACGTCCGACACGGGGAGAGAGGTCAGACTGTGACTCTGGAATTCCCGCTAGGCGGCGTGCATTTCAAGAGGCCATTTGAAGGCGTCGAGGAACTCACCCCACCGTGCATACGGCGAAAAAGGCGCCAGGACAATGTTCCGGCCGGCGGCGGCCAAACTCTGTAGCAGCATATTGCTATTCATTCGGCGATAGCTTTGCATACTTTTTTTGCCGCTGTTCCATTGTGTTTTGCGTACAAGGAAGAAGTGGCCAGGTTATGGTCACTCCACGGTTGGGCGCGATATCCGTGCGGGGACCTGGTTCGGAGAGGTGGTGGTAACCACGACTATCGGTGACTCATATCCGCTGAGTAAGTGGAGCGTGGGTGCGGACACAGTCTGGGTGAACGAAAAAAGGCTCAGCACCCGGCGCAGTTGACGCAGGGCATGCCTAGCTCGTCCTCGTGCAGAAACACAAGGCCAAGTCAAACATGAGCAGCACCGTCCGTGCACACTGTACAATGCACACGACAAAGGCATGATCTTCAGTCCCTTTACGGCAAGGTCTTGACCACACGCTGGCTGCCAGCATGCCTGCCTAGCACGCAGGTATTCGGAGGTCTTCACCGATTTGTCGGACTCGGGGTCAGAGGTCGGAGGTCAAAGGTCAGGTCAGATCCGACGATTGCTCCGACGGCTCAGAGTGAGGCCGTGTCCTCGGGTCAACCGGGCAACCGGGTCGTAGGGTCCCACGACCGTGCCCAAACTCAACCGCCGCGGGCGCTGGTTGGCGCAGCGTTAAACGCGGGAGAGGGCGATCACCTCCAGTTGATGTCATGTTGATGAATTTTGTCATGCATTTAGCCGCCCTTGCTTGGTCCTTCACCGTTTTTTTTCGCGGTAAAGGATAGCAAATCCAGTCGTAGATCAAGCTTAAACTTGAGGCCACGGCAGCTCCCGAGGGTGGAAGAAGACTACTTTGGTGATTGGACTATCCCGTAGTATAGGGCTGGTGCCCCGGTATTATTCGCAGCAGCAGCTATTCTGACATTAGTTGAATGACATTGCATACATGAACGTTTCGGCTGTGCACATAACATTGCAAGGCGCGTTGATAAAAGAGGCTTTCTGTGATGCGCCGATTCCTGCTTTCACCACTGGGCATGAACTTCATTGTCGTTCCATGCCATAAGGTATTGCGTTATGCTGCCGGTGACAATTTTGTCCGCAGAAATTTGGTCGGCGACAATAACTACGATTTTACCACCCTGTGTTCTAGTTAGATCTCATTTCCTTTCACTGATTATCTTGTTTGTGTGCAATGCACAAGGGAATCCGCTTCGGCTTGCAACACGTCTGCAATATGGCCGACATTCATGTAACCTAACGGTGCCGTCTCGTGATTGGTGTGGGCTTCTGATCAACTCACAGCAATCTTAATCCACCTGTCCCTTGACCTAGGCTCATTCTGCTTCATAGCCATGCTGTGGGCTAGATGCTGAACCAATGTGATGGCTGATCCGTCACGTATCGCGAGAATTTAGCCTCTACCACAGCGATGTAGAGTCGCAAAATAACTTAAAATAATCGGGGAAAATAGCTAAATCTACCACACAAAACACCAGAAGGCATGTTTTTCTCCTTAGATTTGATCTACTCTCAGCGTTAAAGGCTGGAGTCTCCCAAATTCACCGTTCTGTCTCGATGGAGAAAGTTGTCGTCGGGCACGTTTATTATTTTGTTGGGCGTCGATGGCCAGGCAAAGTTTTGGTTATCAATGCAGGGTGATGTTACCTGGCTTTACATGCTCTTTGGCCTGTACAGCTTTGGGAAACAAATGTTAATTGATGTACGCAGCTGTTAGAGGCTACCAGAGAAGCCACCGCCTGGTGGCCACAAGGTAGACGGCATGCTGGAAAGCAGCACTAGAGTTAAGAGAGGGCAAGGGCAAGACTTGTTGTTGGGCAAGACTTGTGTTGTTTTTGTGGTCCTCTGTAATCGTTCCCCGAAGATTGTCGTTATCGGCTTAGTAGGTTAGAACCGATGGTCGCGTTTGTGTTAATGTTTCAATACATATTTACGTCGAAGTGGAGGTGGGCACATTGCAATGGTAATCTCGAATGAAGATGACTGGAAGATTCGTCAGGTGTTTGGGTCAGTACGCAGCCTGTTTATTTTCGTTTACTGATGATGCATCGATAAGACATCGTAGCAGAATAACGCAAACTAATGCTGGCTGTAGAATTTGAAACATGACTGAACACAGCAACGACAAAAAATTAGAACAGAGTTGACAAGATATCTAGGTCTTGCAATCAAAAACATGCAGCATGAAAAAAACGAAAAATGCGCCAGCAAATATGATACGAATGCGAGATATAAAGGTGTGATAAGCTCAGTTCGCAGTACTTAACTGAACGTGGCTCTGCAGTTTGCATTTTTTGTTCCTTGAGCTGTGAAATAGTTTGTGGAAGACAGCTTTTGAAATTCCTATGATTTTCAGCTCACATTTAAATGTTCTGCTTGTAATAAAGCTCAAGAAGCTTGGGGCCTTACAGGACATTGGCGGATGAGACCAGTGTCCCACCCAACAAGATATAAATCGACACCAATCATTGATGTTAGGTCCAAGCAATTGGAGTTTCTCTTGGAGCATCTGGCGGAAGTACCAAGCAACAGCCACACAAAAAGTGCGATGGATTTGTTTTTTGTGTTCACATGTTTATGATCAGGCATATGGTCATGGTATTACCTGATGCAGACCACTTTTCACGTCGATTACTACTAATATGGCTGCTAGAGCAGTCGAAGGACTTGTAGAGCAGATGAGCGAGGGAAACGGCGCGCGTAGGCGCGGAAGATATAACTCTACTGTTCCGTATGTGTCTTGATACCACGTAGTTCCAGGGTAACGGCAATTTCCCTGAACAAACATGGCGTACATCAATGAAAGGTTATGTCAGGGTGTGGTAGCCAATTTGTTCGTGTAGAAATCGGAGCAAGGAGCATTGATCACTTCGCTTCATGGGATCAAGGTAGAGAAGAGGCATGCAGATGACAGGGTTGTGTTAAAAGAGCATCATGTTCTGAATCTTTCCGGGCACTTAAACAAAGCATCCCCGTGAACAGATTCAGCAACGGCATGGAGGCGCATGGGCCTCTTCCTTTTCTAAACATTTTAGGGCAGACGGCTCCCTCAACCTAGGAGCGTTTAGAAGAGCGACGCACAATGTCATGAAGTTGGACATCCTTCCACGTCCTAGGAGTCGACTTAAGGAATCAGTGGGCAGATTGCTCCTGCAAAGGGCACTGAGGCGCCTCTCCCGTCGGTCAGCGCTTCTGCTTCATCGAGCAGCGCGCCTATTCCGGTGATCAGCGTGTCTACTTCGTCTGTGCGCTCGGGTCAGCGCGCGTGCTCTGATGGTCAGCGCGCATGTTCTGGCGGCCAGCGCGTGTGCTCTGGTGGTCAGCGAACATGCTCCGGCGGCCAGCGCGCGTGCTCTGGTGGTCAGCGCGCGTGCTCTGGTGGTCAGCGCGCGTGCTCTGGTGGTCGGCGCGCGTGCTCTGGTGGTGAGCGCGCGTGCCTTTTCATCCAGCGCGCTGCCTACACGTTCTGCTGGTGCGCCCTGTCGACGCGCCAAAGCGAGCCAAAGCGAGCTGCTTTTTTACTACTTCCTTGATTTTAGCGCTGCGGTGCGCGAACTAACAAAGCCGTCTTGCGGCGACACCGCTGCTCCATTGTCAGCGCAGGCTTCAGCTGACTTAATGTAACACATATAGCCACTCCCTGAGATATCGGATCCTTGGTTGGGTTCCCCCACCGTGTGTCCATTCACTCGGCGGAGCTTTTCTCATGAGGTGTCCAGTGTGCTTAAGGCACGTCGTTGGCGCACACCTGCGCCAATGTGGGGCACACGGAAGCGGTGAGTGTCAAAGTGTCCTTCCAGGAGTGAAACGATCAGGGGCTGACCTGGGCCCGAGGTCGGGTCAAGTTCCGTGGACGACCAACGGAAAATGGGTTTGGCCCTTCAACTCGTTGCATGAGAGAGAGAGATATAGAGAGGAGAGAGAGAGAGAGAGTAGTACACGAGACAACTTTCCTGACATAGTTGCAAAGCTTTACTCTGTTTCGAGTCGCCTCAATGATGCTGGCTTGCCATCGAATTCGGAAAAAAATGTAAGCTGTTCAAGTGTCACATGTCAGGGAAATGCTGCATCAAGTGTGATCGTCAGTGCAGACGCTGAGAAAATCCGAAACTTAGTGAGCGATTTCTTCCTAGAAATCCAAAAGAACTTGGCAGTTTCCTTGGCCTGATGTTGTTTTCCCGTAAATACGCTGGCCATTTTGCGGAGAATGCGGCACCCCTCTTCGGTTTTCTGCACCCCTTCAGGGTGACTGTCCGGGATGCACTTCGTTGTCGGTTTTGTGGGGTTTAACCGATAAGGTAGACCTAACCTACCCACAAAACCTGGCCTCTCTCCAGATTTTGCCCCCCCCCCCCCTCACCTTGCGTTTCTTATGTCAAGGATTAAAACAAAGACGCAAACATTGACAGATAAAGAATTGATTTACGGAAGGGCGACGTCCATTTTCAAGGAATGTGAAGCTGCCGCCATGTGGCCGCTTGACATCTTGTTAAGACGGTCCAATATGATCGCCGAAAAATATGTGTATCTTTCATGGGAGGTTATCCAGCGCGCAATCCAGCGATGCGACAATTAAAAAACGACAGCTCTTTCCAGAATGGTGTGCCTGACACATGTAGACTAGAGACTAGTGCGACTGATTCAGTTTCGTTGGAGAAACTGCGGGAACTGCATAATGTGCTCTGTCAGAAACTGCCGACATTTGAAAGTGAAACTGAAGTTGCGGGATCTCAACAGACATGTTGATAACTGGAGGGAGTGAGTAGGTAAGGCTGCTGATCGGATGGGTTACAAGAACAGCCTTCGTAATAACAAGCGCGACCAGCGCCTTGCCGGCAGTCTGAGGCTGCATGAGCGTGAAGGGTTTGTGCTCGTGGTGTTAACGCGTTGTGAGCTGGGATCTTGCTATAAATTATCTATCTTCAGTTGCGAGGCGGTACTGCTTCAGCGATGTTGTCAAGCAAGTAGTGTTTTTTGTGGAGAAAATTTGACGTCACGCAACTGTGCTGAGGGTCAGGTTTTTCTCACAAAAATCTCTGAACCACGCGTCAATTTGTAAGTTACTCTGAAATACGCCACGCAAAATGCGACAATTCTGTCCCTCGACACCCTTTTGTGATGCAATCAGCTGCAAGATATATCATTAAGCTGCACATAATGTCCATGACCTTTATCGTACTGCACTTTCCTTTTTGTTAGTCGCTGCACTCCCATGGGTATTAGGAGAACAGTCCTTATACCCCCAATGCGGAGAAGTGTGCGTGCATCTCTTGATCTCTTGATCTCACGATCGTGTGACCGTGGTCACGCTGAAATATATCTTCTTTTCCGTGAGAGTGTTTTCCCGAAACACCGAATGAGGTCCGCCGCACGTGTGGCACGTTCTCGGTTTGAGAAACGGTGGGGGTATACACATAGTAGCTTCCGTCTGCCTTACCAAACTCATGGCGTGCCTCATAAGCACGCAACTTAATGTTGACAGCCGAAAATTCTCAATAAACTCGATGAAATTAAAGGATCAAGAGCATGCGATGCGGCTTCAAGATACGCAAGAGACTGCGCGCGACTGCGGTGCGCTCATCTTGAACCCATCATGCTCGCGATGAAGTCGTAGATAGGTGAAGCAAACAAGTCGCATCTTTGTGAAGCTCATTTTAAAAGATGGCGAGCTGTGTAAACAGGTCAATACCAGCGTCCCACCAAGTGGTTTGCACAGCCCGAGGGTGGCGTGGACTGGTGGTGCTTGCTCGTGCCATCCTCGCTCATGTAGGACATGTCCGACCCTCCCTAGAAACCTTAGTCTGTCCAGGTGTGGTTAAGGTTCGTCAAACATGCGTCAGGTGGCTGAAAAAAAACGCACACGAAAGAACGTAAGAACGCAGTGCGTAAGATCTTTTCTAACCTCTGCACAGGAATATTGTACGAAGACAAAGCAGAACGTAGCGTTCTTGCCCGGTTTATGAACACCTTGGAAGCTTCACGTTTATACAGAACGTCATCCCTAAGTGAACACATGGTAGCCCGACGCGAGGTGATGGAGCATGATTCAGCAAAAATAAACCTCAACAAAGAAGTTTGAGGAACAGCAGAAGACGACGCGGGTCGCAAGATATAAGAATTGTTGCGCAGCTGTAATCTACGCCCGAGGCTGAAAATACAAGCGTCAGCTTGCGACTCTGATGTTCCTGCATCTAGCTTTTGGGAAGCTCGCCATGTTTTTGTTAGATGTCGTTCAGTTATAAACGTTTACAAAAAGTCATAGTGGCGAACGCTGACATCACACGGCAATTTTCTTTCTAAGCTTTTACTCGGTGCGTGTCGTCGAAACCCTTCCTTTGGGCTTCCTGAGCATCGGGCAGTCTTTACCACAATTCCGCGTGTTGGGTATCAGGACGTGAGACCCTGAATGACTGGAATACCGGTGATGTTCGTGCAATGTTGTTGAAATCTGACTTTCATTGTAAGTAATTATCCGAACTTATAGAACCCTACACGAAAAACCAGCCACATATAGGCGACCGCATACGACAATAAATTTTATGGTCCCGATCGAGGTGTTGTCTCGAAAAATCCGCCTAGATTTGCAGACTGACCCAACATGCAAAGAAGTTGGAATGACAAAAAGCATGTAGCGTACGCAGAGGAGGTTATACGATGTAAAAATAGCATAAAATTAACCGTGATGTGTTGAGATAACTAGTGGATCAACATTGCGTGGAAATTTTCTGCAGTTGCCTGGTACTGTGCGCATTTTTCCATACCCATTGGGGATGGGGAATCAGAGAAACATTGACAGCTCAAGTCAGCATTGGGGGAGCTCAGGCCCTCCGAATGCATATAAAGTGATTGCCTCTGACGCCCCTGAAACCCCTGATGATTGCCTAAGGAAGCCACGAGCTATTCAAATCACCAAGGAATCACAGTGCGACAAAAAAGAGCTTTTATCATGTGCCGTGCTTACCCAACACTTCTGGTATTGCCTGCCCGGTGGAAACATAAAACTGTATTGCGTGCGCATTGGCTGCTTGCAGGGGTCACGATCATGCGTGTGCAGTGGCTGCTTAACATACCACACAGCAGGTATGATTTCCAGATGGTTTTAAATGTTCTCAAGGTTCGGTTTTGACATGGTGTTCCGCCCAGGAGCGCTGGGCGTCGCTGCTGGCGTGCTGAGCCAATGGTCAGCTGACCGTGCTCACCTGCCCACCTAAACTGACGAACCATATGTGCGCACAAGGTCTAGGTCACGGTAATCTCACTATTCTCGGGAGCAGCAGGACTAGGACTCGATGGTCGCCGAACCGACTTACTCTATGTTCGCAGGCGTGAAATGAAAACGGGCTGATCCGTCCACAGCCACTGCTCCGTTTCTGACGCAGTGGTTGCGACTCAAACTCCTGAACCGTGTTCTTAACAAAATGTGCAGGAGGAGAGTGGGAGAAGAGAGAGTGGAGATCGTTGCCTCAGTGTCGTTGGTACCGGGAGTGATAACGTCGCTTCACACAGGCCCGGCCGAGGTACATTCCGGAGCTGATTAGCTCCTCGAACAGGTTTGTGTGCGGTTCTGTTGGCTTCAGATGATCCACAGCGCGGCGATATTCTGCGGGAGCTGCGGACGCTGCACCAACAGGAGGATCCATATACCCGCGTCGTGATGGTGGAACTGCGTGCCAATAAGCAATTAGACACAACTTGATTTAATTCTCTGAGTGGGTTGCCCACCGCCATTCGTGGAAACCAGCATTTACTGGTTGTTTGTGATGTATTTACCTTTCGGTTTGAGGTGTAACAATTTCTGGACATGAATGTCACGAGAGTGACTTCAACTGTCGTGAACGAGTTATTCCCCAGGTTTGGCTGCTCCTGACAGCTGAATCACTCTGGTGCTGGTAATGTCGCAGGTCACTCTGGTGCTGGTAATGTCGCAGGTAAAATTCTCGCGGAAACCCGTCTCCTACGGGGTATTGAAAAAGTAGAAATGTTCGTGTTGTCATCTAAAAGCGAATTTAACAGTTTTGTCTCATGCAAACCGGTCCAGATATACTAAGAAAATATTTGGACGGCAATCTCTGTGATCGAGGTGTTCATCTGGTCTTCCTAATGCTGGCATTTCTTGCTTAGATTCATCCCGCACTCGGACACTACCGCTATCATTTGATGTTCACATGTGAACGAAAGCTTCCAGCAGAGGTAAGCACTGATGCCCCTGCTGCGGCAAGCAGTCGTGCGGTGGCAGCCTGTGTAAATACTTTGTGAGCCAGTTTGCAACAGGTGTTCGATTTCGCCTTGGTCTCATGTGACCGCAGGATGCTCGCAACAAACAGGCATATAACAGCAGCTTCAACTATCTTCCATTCCAATTTGGTGGTTCGGTGTGTCTGCACACCTCCTGATACCTACTGATAACTTGTTCTTCCCGCCGT